TTCTCACCTGAGGATGACCACTTTGTGGTTGAAACGCGTTGTGTTTGAAATAAAAATCTGGTGTGACGGCTTTAATCGTGTTTTTATTCATAAGCGTTATCCTAACTGAGGATACATAATAATTTATATTTGCAACGTACCTGCAGTATGACCGACCTTGTAAAAAATTCAGAAGTTAGGGAAATTGCTGTCATACATGTTATATAACCATTAATTAACCTAATTACTTAATAAAGCAATATTTCAACGTAGTTATTTTTATTTTCTTGCAAAATTTAAATTTTCTGGGTGGTACCTTAAGAATGTATGTAATTACTTCGTTGGTGATTAACTTAGAGGTTGAGAGAAGCTGCAGTTGCAGTTTAGGACGAAACACAAAATTAAATGAACACGAGATTTTATAAACAGTGAATTTGAGTAAAAGTTTAGACGTTTCAAGGTTTTCGAGAAATTTTAAGTTCGTACGGTCATCCCTTCTGGGTGCTCTGCTTTTTTATTAAAGTAACATTACAAATTTTTCAAAAAAAAGTTCTGTAGTTATAATTTCGATATTGAGAAGTTTTTCTCAAGTTTGTTCAATGTCTATTAAATAAAAATTATCGCGATAATGCTGAGAAAGTCCTTGGTTTGTCCCACACAATACATCCACATGTCACTTACTCATGTCTTCATACCGTATCTTTGTAAACGGATATCACGAGGAGGGGCTTCCGCTCAAAAAAATTCAATACTATGTGAATTTTCATTATACTGCTGTGACCGTCATATTATATAACATCTTGTCCAAAATTACATTTATTTGAGCTGAATCATCCTGCTCCAAAAAGTAATGCATCGAACGTCCTTTGGCGCATCTCCAAGTTGTTGACAAGAACCTTATTTTAGAAATTCAGTTTTGTACACATGTTTTGATATAATGTGTAAAAATAGAGCGTGAATATTTCTAGGGAAATGAAAAATATCGGTCACAGTTATTAATTATTATCAAATTAAGAAGCTTCTAATTAGTTGTCAATCAAGCACTTGATAACAGGTGTTCACCACACATGCCCAATTCGAATTTTTCATAAATTATGAAGAAAAGACATTCAAAGATTGTGAACGGTCGCTTGGTTGGCATCTGCATGCCTGTTGTTAATTCAAAGTTCATGACGTCAGTCAACACATACACATTGTACGCCTGATAGAGTTAGTCTGCCGGTTTTAACTGAAAGCGTAAGGCGCGGTTGCAGGAACTTGAGTCCTTCGAACTTCTGTTTATTCGATTTTTCAAATCTGGCAACTGCAAAGAGTGCAGGTGCGGTGGCAGTGATACACGTCGGTTGTTTGGAAAACTCGAGTTTCCTGCTACTGTTACTCCTGCTGGGATAACATCGATAGTGTCGAATCACAATCCTATCCAATTACTACAATAAAAAATCGAAACGGTGTCATCTTTGAACGCAATTCATCATTAGAGTTGTTAGTGAATTATTACTTTGACCGATTTGGCTAAGCGTCGCGTTTTGGAAATGATTCATTTAACGCCGACTCCTTACACTAAATTTAAAGTTTGCACTAGTAGCGAAATAGCAATGCACAAACTCAACACAACATAGATAAGTCCAGGGTTATCAACGTCGTCTTATCAGTTATTTGACAGTAGTGAATACTCACAAGTGTTGTGTTCGTTGACATATTAAACCAGTTAAATGGGTTTTTAAAAAATGAGTGATGACGAAAATGATGTCTCCTACCTATCTGAACTTGATTATGATATGTGGGAGGGACAATTCGAATTTATTGGACCAACGGAAACGAATTTCACGCCACAAGGGCTTTTAAGGCCACCGCCTTATCTCCCTCATACTATTAATGGAGTTAAGAAAAGTCCGGCACATCAGTGGTGTGAAGAAGTGTCAGATCAAGTAAGACTTTTGATCGATTTTTGATTGATATTCAAGTCATAGCTGAAGAAATTGCAGTGACTAAGGGCGATTGGAAACAATTAGTAATGGGTTGAATTAAAGTTAATTTAAAAAGTGAATCATTGAATTAAAGGAAGGGCAACGTTCTTAAATTTGAAGGCAAATGGTTAAAATTAGGTTTATTCGTTGGTTTAATATCGTACACGTTCAATTCAATTGAAAATTTATTAATAACCATAAGTTATAATAAACGTGCCCACATATTATTGTTGTTGGAATCTTTTCATTGAATGATTTTTATTTGTAGGTAATTACTATTTTTGAATCATTGCATGCCTTGCAATGCTACTTTTTGAGTTTTATTGTGTTATTTAAAAGTGTAATGGTAATTTTCATTTAAATTATCGGCAATGAAAAATAACTTCAGGTATGAATTTTGTCAAAAAATGTCATTAAAAAAATCGAAATCATTGATGGAGTCAATCCAGCTAAGGAGGTATTATCTTGACTTCTTACGAAAACATTATCAAGCTACTATACTTTTTATAGACACATTTTTTGGCAAAAACAACACGTTCTTGTGTGTTCTTAAACCTTGTTTTATAAAAAAATTGTTGTCTTAAAAATTGTGAAATAATTCGAAAATATTTTAACTAGGCTTTATTAATTTTTAATATAATCACAACACAATATGATGTTTTTTCAGTATGTAATCATTTTCATTATTTTTAAACATGTACTTATTTACGGTTATATACTTATATTAAATTAATTCAGAATTTGTTATGAAGTAAAAAGATTTGAAATCACTGTGTTAAATAAGAGTTATTTTTTGGATTTGATTACAAAATTTTGTTATATTTATCGACCAGTTTGATAAAGGTGACTTATTTGATTACAGTTCCAAGTGCTTCAACAGCAAGTGGGCGTGCTCCAAGACTCGGCAAATCAAAACGATGAGAGATATACAAGGGCCAAATCCGACAATGCTGCCCTTCAAGCCCGGGTAATAATGTTGGAAGAACAACTAAGGGACACTGAGATGAGATACGATGAACGTTTGCAGGTATGTTCAAGGATTTATTTAGGTTGATTGTCGATGTTGAGGTGGGTTTCATTTAGGACGAACAACGGAGGTCCAGAGAAATGCTAAATAGATTAGAACGAGAAAAACAATTACAGTTAGAAAATGCAAGTATTCGATTACACGCCGCTGAAACGGAAGCATCGAATTTGAAAGAAGAAGTAGCTAGACAACGGATGCGAATAGAGAAACTAGAAAACGAGAGAAAAGAACTGACAGATCAAATCCAGGAACTGACTAATGAAGTAATATTCGCGAAAGAGCAAGCTACTAGTTTTAAGGAGAAAGAAAGAAGGTTGTAAACTATACATCTAAATCTAGTAAAATTACTAATAATAATTATTTTTAGACTGAACCAAGAACATGAAGCACAAGTTCAATTAATAGAAGAATTATCTAGAGAAATCGAAAGGTTAAGGTCTGAAGCTAGGACACCAGCGTTACCAACTACCTCACCTGAAACGATCAGACTCGAAGAACTACACGAAGAAATCACAAATTTGAGAAACAAAAATACTCAGCTACAGGAAGCTAATGATGAGTTACAAGCTAGTCTACTTCATGCCGGTCTTGAGCAAGGCAGAATGCTCACAGCTGGCGAAAATAGTCTTGCTGCAGAATTGGAAGCCATGACACATGATGAGGTAATTAATACAGAAATATTTTTAATGACGCACCTCTGCTATAAAAAATACGAAGCTGATGGTGGCCTAAAAGAGTTTAATTTTAAAAATAGTGCACTTTAAATCCTCGCACATCTATATTTTTACAAGCAAGCAATAAATATTCATAGTACATACACACTAGAAATTATTTTTGCGCGAAAAAAACAAAATTTTAATTTGATGCTGTTTGAGTTTGATGCAATTTTGTTTAAAAATATTTATTAGAGTAGTGCCTTAACAAATGCTTAAACTAAACTAGAAAATAGTTTTTAACAAATGATTTTTTATTATTTCAAGAAATCTATTGTCATTTTGGCCATTCTAAATGACTATAGCTTTGCATAATCGCGCTTTGATGATTTTGCACGTTTCTTTGTTAATTTGTGATTGCTTTATAATGGGTTGCTGGTCGCTTATAAATGTTCTTTCTGTTTTTAGCCTGTCATTCTACATGATCGCGAATCTGTAGCTAAGGTATGCACCATTAATTTTATTTAATAGAAGTTAAAATTGCACTATACTGTGCTTTGTCAGCTTTATAATTTCATTGATTACTATTTATGTAAAAATTCAGAAACGTGAAATGTCACTTTCATTTCAGATGCAACAAGCACTCAAAGAACAACAGGAGGTAAATCTGCAATTAAGATGCTATATTGATGGGATTTTACTCAATATTGTTGAAAATTATCCACAATTACTTGAGGTAAAGCATAGATCTGCATAGTCAATATTAAATTAGGATGTTTGTATTTTAATGTTGAATTTTGTATATAGAATTTATAATATGTATTATTAATTGTTACGAATACTTGTATATTGGATATTATGTATAATGTATATAAATGTTAAAAGTAGCTCAATGGTCCGTCCATTATGTGATTAGACACTGTGATTGGTGGATGTTATAGATTGCTACTTAACAATACTATGCATTATTTAATTTTATATAATTCATTCAAGTGCCTCGCTCTAGAATGTTAATTTTTATTGTTGATCTTGATAACTTTTATAAACCTCAACAACATGGAAAGTTTTATACCTAAATGTTTTAACCGCATAGTAATACATATATTTCAAAGTTGTCTTATTCTGAACTAATTTATATTGTAAAAAATCTATTATCCGGTTTTAATTTATTGAATGTTAATGTATATTTTGTAAAGTTAAATTTTAATGATACTTGTTCCCAGTATTTTATAAATATTTGTATATTTTATATTATTGTCAGTAGTAAACCGGCCTACTTGTAACGCCTATCTGTGTACTTTATCGAAGGTCATGCAGGTGTAACTAGAAAAATAATTTGTCACTACAGTTAAATAAATTTAGATTGGAATATTCTTAAGATTGTATTTTTTATAAACGTACAAACCAAATAATAAAAGTTTTTAGAAAAGATTGTTTAATTAGCTTGGCACATCGTGGTTTATGTTCAATAAATTTTCCTCCGTTGCTTCCAAGCGAAGACGAAGAATATCATTGTCAATCTAACAAAACCAAAATTTAGGTATCACCCACTTGATATGCAATACTTACATGATCAAATCTAGAAAAATAAGACGTTAAGACATCTGAGTTTATGTTAAGATTACTTTCCTCAAGTTTCTGAGGATCAGCACTACAAAGACTGCACTTCTTACTCTGACGCATTAGAGTGTTCAGCGACAAACGTTCTTTAGAAAGTGCAATTTTCTCCTCTGCTAACTTCTTTTCTCTGTTTGCCAACATGTTTAACTGATTTTGTAAATCCCTCAGTCTTTCGTTGTATTTGTTTTCGATAGTTTTCGACTCAAAAATTGCTTTTTCACCTTCGTTTTTCTTATTTTCAGCTTCTTTCATTAAATTCTCTACTTCTGTTTCTCTCAAATTTAATTTTCGTTTATGATCTTGCAAAGATCGCTTTAATTTTTCCATCTCGCATCTCTCTTTGTTAAGACTTTCCCGCTCTTTGTCTGCCATTTCGGCTGCCTCCTTCGCTATCTGAACAGCAGCATCGATTTCGGCTTTAGCCTTTTGTGAGTCGTAATTGACCATTAATTTATTGGATGTTTCGAACCGAGATTTTTCAGCAGCGAGGGATAATTTTTCCTCGGAAAGTTGCAACATGGTTTTCTCTTGTTCTGCCAAAATGGATTCCCTCAGGGTCTACAATTTTTTATATGTAACAATCATAACAAAATAATTGTTTATCTTACCTTTAATTGTTCTCTTTCACGTTCGAAAGCTGTTCTGTTAAACTCAGCTTCTCTATCCAAAGCTGCTGATCGTGCAGCTAAAGTACTAGCTGCTTGCTGAAATGCCCATCTTTCTTCACGAGCGTTTTGATTTTGTTCTGCAATCTTTGTTTCTAAGGTTCGCACCAAAGCCAAAAGCTCTGCTCTCTCTTTTTCGGCTTCTTCACGACATTTTTCTAGCGTACTTCTCATTACTGAAACACAAGAGACGGTTTTTTCATATCATATAAGAGACATTATTATTTACAAATAATCTCTTGCTCCTTGGCTTTTAGAGACTCTTCTCGTGCTCGGGATAATATTCCATAATCTTTGTAGATATGATCTTTGAGGTCTCCTAAACTTTTGCTATTGGCATATAGGATTTCAATATTGTCATCTAGTTTCTGAAGGTAAGTATTTGATTCCTGAAATAATGATGTTTCAGATTTTTTGGCTTCTTTTACATTTTCCAAAAGGGTGGAATATTCGTATTTAACTTCCTCAATAACTCTAGAATTACTTTCTCTAATCTGTTTTATTTCTTCCGAATGTTGAATTTCAGCTTCGTGAATTTTTTGTTTGTATTTCGTAATTTCGTTATCATGTTGCTCTTGTACTGCTTTTAGTTTCTTCTCAAACACTTCTGATATTTTTTCAACGTCATTTTTTAATCGTTTTTCGACTGATTCCAAGCTTTGTTCTAGTAAATTTATTTGTTTCCTTGAAATAAAACATTAATTGAGTAATTCAAGTACATAATTAGGAATAAGAACGCACTTGTAGGATTCCTCCAGTAAGAAAATTTCCTCATGCTGTCTTTGTTTCAAAGAGTTGATTATGTTTTCATAAAGTTTCACGCTTTCCTCACTTGCTGTCTTTTTTAATTCGTCCATTTCCTCTTGACCCAAATGCTTTGCAATTGGTGGTTGTGCTAATAACATTTGAATATGATTATTAATTCGCTCTTGTTGAAGACGCATATTATTTTCCATGATTTGTTGTTTAGCAAATTGTCTTTCTAGAAGCATGTTAAATTGTTGTTCTTGTTTCATTATAACTTCCTGTTGCTTCATTTGCATTTCGGATAAATTGTCTTCATATTTTTTCAACTGAAGAGCCATTAATAATTGCGATTCTTGTTGTTGAAGAGTGATAGCTGTATTTTGGTACTCCATATGAGAGTGAGCCAACTTTTGCTGTGTTAAAATAGTATTTAAAGTAGATTGGTCGCTTTCATTTATTGGTTCCACGTTTTTTTCGGGTTCTTGCTTAGCAGGTTCTGGTTTAGATTCTTTCGTAGGCAGTATATTTTCCGATTTGCTTTGTTTGATTGCGGATCCGCCACCAAGCCACTCCGGAAGCCCTAAATTATATATTATTATTCAAAAAAAAAAAACAAAAATACCAAAAGAAACCTGGATCAGAGATAATATTTGGAGTACTTTTAGAAGGGGTAGGTTTTGAAAAAGGAGTTTCAGTAGAGTTGATGATTGTTTTTTCTTTAGTTGCAGAATCATCAATTTTTGTTTCACTACTGAATAAGCCTAAAGGGTCTAATAATCCAGCAGAAGATCTACGCCTTCGTCGACCTTCTCGAGGCCCTTCGCTCAACAACAAAGGCTCTGTTGGTGGATTAGAAGGTGTCAGTTTTGGAGTCGCAGTCGGAGTCGCAGTCTTTGCTTTACTCTCTTTTAAAATATCTTCAAAAGTCGATGGTTTGTTAACATCTTCGCTTTTAGATGGTCCCAAAATACTCTCAAGCAAATCCAATTTCTTTGACGGTGCTTTCTTTTCTTCCAAATGGGTTTCTGGTTTACTTTGAGGTCTCTTTGTTAGCCCTAAATTGCCCAAAATGTCGTCGTCATCATCGAAGCTAATTTTTTTGGCTAATTTTTGAGTACGCGAAGGGGATTTTGTGTCTTTGGAATCTAATCCCAACCAATCATCCGGTCGTTTTGGCACTTGATTATTTTCAGGGGTTTTGTCGGTAATGTTGAATAAGTCTGTGATGGACTTTTTTTCTGGGGTTTTGGTCAAACTTGCCCTTTTGGATGCAGGCCTGGGTTCATCGAAGAAACTGTCGTTGCTTCCATCGGATAACACGTCTCCTAATGGGTCGTCACCAAAATCCATAACGATAGCTTATTTGTTTGATTTTTTTCTTTGCTTGAAACGAATGTTTAGCAGGTTTATTTTGTGGGTTTCGTCGGTTTGTTTATTTATTGATTGAGTTTTTCACTACTACACCATGGAAACAAAGTGCAATACAAACAAAGTTGTGAATCAAAAATAATGGACACCAAAACTCAGAAGGGAAAATTACTTTTTCTATTATAATAGGTTGATTTAGAATATTAATTAATAAAAATGAGTATTTAAGAACAAAATTGTGTATTTAATAAAACTCTTAAAAACGTGGGTAGGTACATACTTTACATATTAAATAATAATTTTTTAACATATTCTAGAACTATAAAATCATAAGATTCATACTTATTTATATACCATTTTTGATAAAATAGAAAAAAACTTTATTTCAATTTTGCAGAATTTTGGTTCAATTAAAATCCATTTCCAGCTTTTTTATGTTTTTATTAGATTTAGATTTTCCATTTCTAATAAATGCGGTTACATTCTAGATACCTACGGTTTAATTATCGAAACACTTGTATAATTACTTCTATTTTTACGAAAATATCCATATCGGACGAATGGTTTTTCGGTACGAAAATAAAACGGTAGCTAAATGTAATCGGCTGAAATCAAAATCGGTTGTTATGCTAACCTGTCTACAATTTTTAGGTTATGTTTGTATTTCAAATTTTAAATAATTTTTGTGTTAAATGTTGTGTGTTTTAACGTGACTGTCTTACTTTTGTTTAATTAATTAAATATTAGTACAATGTATGGCAGAAAAACTACATTTTTAAATTTGCTTATTAAGTTTTCCGTTTAAGGTCTTTTGAAGAAAGTGAAAATGCTGTTCCAGAGGAAAATGTGTCTTCATTTAGTGATTGTTATAAATACTCAGGCAGGACTTTGGCTTTTACGCAGGAAAAGAAACGTCAATTATTTCTTCAAAAACAAAAAGAGTAAAATTCTTTTAGTTCAAATCCTATTACTTATGTTGTATTTTACAGAAAAAGGAGCGAAGCTTTTGATGAAAAGCGCGATTTATCTGAACTTTTTACTGAAGACTCCACAGAACCAATGGAATGTGAGTCATTAACCAAGAAGAAACATCTCAAAAAATGCCCATTTGGTTACAAACTTATGGGATCAGAATGGTTTACTGAAGTGCCTGATGATTTGCCTGATAATTGGCTTATTAAATTGTGCCCTGAAGGGATTCGTTATTTAGTTGTTGCAAATAAGGTAAGGTTTCATAATTTTTTTCTTCCCAATTGATTTTATCTATAATTCAGGCAATAACAACATGTTACTACAGAAATGGAAGATCCAGTTTTACTTTTAAATCTAAATTGCCAGGTGGAAATTCTGATTGTGGGCATAAATTCACAGTACTAGATTGTATTTACAACAAAAATGTTAATACCTTATTTGTTTATGATGTTCTCGCATGGAACTCCATGTCTTTAATTAATGCTGAGGTGTGTAAAATCTATTTTTAGATAATTGACTTATTGATAATTGCAGGTCCAAATGAGATTTTTTTGGCTTAAGTCAAAATTTCAGGAATTTACAGAGTTAAGTGTGATTAATGAACGCAAAAACTTCCGTTTTATGTTGGTAGATTTCTTCCCTGCAGAAGTTGCATTATTGCAAGATCATTTATTCACTCCTTTCATGGTGAATGGAGTTGAGTTGTCTCTAGATGGCGTACTTTTTTATCACAAGGAGGGGCATTACGTCTTTGGTGATTCTCCTCTAGTTTGGTGGCTGAGAACTTTTATGTTAGCAGAATTACTAAATATTGATGTTCCTCCAATTCATTTTCAAAATAAGCCCGACAATTATGAATCAATACAACAGTATCTAAGTTGTAGAAAGAAAAAAAAGAGGAGCAAAAATGAAAGTCAAGATTCAGTACTTGTTTTGTGATATATCTGACTGAATTAATTTTTTAATTGATTTTTTTGTAGATGGAAATGGAACAACTGGAGAATGATTGTGAAAATGCCGATTTTGAATGAAACAATGTGTAAGTAGTTTTTTTTATTAGAGAGAATATATGTAGAAGACATTGACATTGGTCGTTGTTACAATAAATATCTTATTCTAAAAACAGCCTAGAAAAATAAATTTTTAAACAAGTTTTCTCCCAAAACTTAAATTTCGTTTCTACCCATTATATTTTTCTCTGTCATAAGAACTACTTAATTGGCACTTCGTGCAGTTTACATAAAAAAATGAAACTTAAATATTTATTAAATAATAGAGTATTTAACCTAATTACAAGTTGTCAAAGAAGTGATTTACATGTGCCTTGTGTTACCGAAGTTGATACCGGATTGGTTAGCACCTTTGTTGCTACCCATCTGGAGGCCAATAATGGTCTGGCCTGCTTTCAGTTTCTCTTCCGAAAATATTCTTTCGTTCTTTTCAGCCTCTTTTGGTCCTATGCTTGGTTTGCCGTAGTTGCCGGCCTTGAAAAAAATTCATTACATAACGGAATTTGCAATGTGGGCGACAGTACCTTTCTGCCTAGCGACTGCAAGCAGATAACTACAGAGTTGAGGTTTTGTCGCTCCCAAAGGTCGACAGTCTGGAAGGTCTCTTGAGCAGGAACGCCCAACTCTTTGGCCGCTTCCAAAAAAGCGTTTATGTTTTCCATACATTTAAAGGCCATTTGACTACTATTGACTTTTTTAACAATTGACGGTTTGATACAGTTAACCAGTCTGTAACACAAAAAAAATTGATGATTACACAATTATCGCCGTTGTCGGTTTGTTTTAAATAAATCATGATGTCACTGTAGATACGTGAATATCGTTAAAGGAAGCCTGACGTCAAGTTTAAGAAATGTGGTGTACTTACTTGCACAAGAGTTGCCCATCTTTCAAAACTTCGTAGAAGTTGTCCATATCGCCAGCGGTGTTTATGTTGTCGCCTGTGAGTTTCATTATCCATTCTAAAGATTCATGAGCCAATTCTTCACTGTACTTGGCGTTTACCTGTAACAAAAAGCAATAAGTGAAAAATTGGTGACATTGAAAAATCAATTACGTATGATTTGTGTTCAAGCAAAGTAAAAGTAACAGTAGAATATTTTTAATTAGTGCTGTTAATGTGCCATGCATATTTACTTAAATGTGCCATTTTCTTGTACTTTTAGTTCAAATAAAAATATTTTTTTTACAATTTCTAGAATCATTTGGTAAAGATAATTTTCTTATTGTGTATCAACCCCACTATTTTCTATACTTAACGGCTGACAATAATTTTATACAAGACTTCACTTTATTGGCAACATCTGAAAGGTCCATCGTCACAAAAATTGTTATAAGCAATGAAAAATAAACATAAATGTGGCGATTTTAAATTATGTGTACTAAAACTGTCATTTCTTTTTACCACATTTGAAATTGTTGCAAGTGCAAATCCATGATTTTTTTAATTACAAATTACAAATGTATTTTTTCACACAACATAAACAGTGTACTTTGAACCGTAAAGTAAAACAAGGTAATTATTTTTCGATCAACTCCGCACTTTCTATCATTTTTGAAATATCCATAGTTCCTTTTCTGCATGGCTCAGAGCGAAGAACACGTTTTTCAAGCCTTCATTTTGTTTTCTTGAAAGGCCTATTTTACGGAATAAATATTTCAGTGAACAAGTTTTAAAATATTAACGAACCGCTTGCTAGTTTCAGGTTGAAACCTTTAACGTCAGGTCATGGATCATCTTTTATCTGAAGTGACCCAGTTTTATTGACATTGTCCTTGCTGCAAAAGAGTATTTCCCTTCTTTTATATCTTGTATATTTGTATCGTAATGAGCAGATATCTGACTAATGACTGTCCCAAGTCTGGTACGACTGAAGTAAATATAATTATAGCGGTTACAATACAATAATGAATGTTTGTTACAACTTATCAGAAGTGATAAGCAAGTCGTAGAATTGACATAAGTAGATCTGTACAAATAAGGAGTGATTGAATATTTTTTTGTGATAAATTTCCGTTTAACGTTCTTGAAAGTTCGTTAGAATTACGTCATGGTGAGTCATTTTCATCGTCTAGCAGGTTTGATTAACCAAGAGAGGACACCATGAAGCACAAGGTTGACTACAATGGGTTAAGGCATGTGGGAATAGTACCCAACATTGGCAACGAACCGTAAAGAAACAAAAAAGAAACAACTTTTAACAGCAAACGCAAAAGTTAATGAAAATGAATCTCTACTGAAATTTAATCTGTACCAAATGTCCCACATTTAGCGAAATTATCAGCCAGTATTTTGCATATGAACCTAATTTGCTCGAACTTATCGTTAAAACGGGTAAAATTCAACCATTTAGAACCAGAACTTGTCCCCAATGTTTAAATTGCGGATACCATTCATTTACCTTACTAATGAGTGGCCACTAATGCCCAATTGTAACAGTGTATTTAATAAAATTAAGTGGTTATTTGAGGCGTAACGGTCGTCATTGTAGACGTTTTAATTCGTGCGTTTTCTCCTTGTTACCATATTTTATAACACGAAGCAAAAAAAAAACCGAATCTGTTGCAATGCTTGGCATTTGCTGAATCAAATCCTTTTACGGTAACATTCACCATATGGCATGTTCTTAACTGAGGTAATCCGACTCTTGCTTGTGGTGCTGCTATTTTGTCATACAATGAGGAAACGCCTGGCATTCATCGTCCACCACGCGATGAGTATTTTAATTAAACGGTTTCCTACTTCCCTTTTCTTATCTTTCATTAATCAAGCATTTCCGTTCGGGTTGACCGAAACAATAATTTGTCATTTTGATCATTTAAAGTTTCAATTTTTTTACCTTGGGCGTTTGGCGAGGCGCGTCATGAACAAAACCGTGAAATATTCCATTAAAATTCTTGCTCATGGCGTTTTATTTGTTTGAAGAGGTTGTATGCCACATATTTTTACCTCAAATCATAAACTACTCCAAACAAATATGATTTTTGATAAGAATTTATGATTGACGGCTATTGGTTCAAATGGAATTTAATTCTTTTGTTCAATTATTGTTGTTTGCTTACTTATTTGTTATCATTTAATGTATGTTAAATTGTGTTAATTGGGCGCAGACGGTGCAATCAATGTCCATTTTCATATTCATTCCCCCCGAAGTTTGCATCAAATTTCTTCGAAAAAAATTGTGGCTTATCGAAAAAGTTATCCATCATCATAGCCACACTATTTATAGAAATGACATCCAATTGAACAGCTAAAATTATCGAATACCTAATTTAGAATGTGGTGGTAAGGTAAAAATTGCTCTTGAACTTGATAGAAGAGATTCATACAATATAATTGCTTTGGAACTTCACCCCTGGTTATTGATTTTCCTCTGACCTAATTCTTATCCAGGGCAGTAGTAGCAGAATTTGGGGACTTAAAACTGGATTATCTTGTTTTGAAAAACTTTATGTAGCATTTAATATTCAAACAACTATAACAAATATGGAACCATCCTCATACCAAAAATTGATTTCTTATACAATGTTAATTAATGTTTTGCAAAATGAATGAAAGCTAAAGATGGTTGTAAACAACCACCTGCTTCCGGGCAAAGAGCGCAAAAAGGGTGTCTTCAGATATTACCTTCCTTTGAGCTTCAGCAGCAAATCCACTTTTAGTAGCCCTGTTTGTTGCCATTTTCTTAGATTCAAATCACTCACAAGAACACTTTTGCTATCGCTTGAGAATTTTTTGATGCTTTCGCACTTGACCGTAGAACGGAAACAACTATAGCAAAGTCACTCTGAGCACTCAGAGTTCGGAGAGCTGACAAGAACGAAACCGAGTATGCGTTGTTCCAGTGTCCCCTCCTAAACTTGTTGGTAGGTACTCAGTTTGAAAATTCTGGGAGTGTAATAAAACAGGTTTTTCATGTTCTAATCATTGATGTTCTTGAGAGGATCAATTTTATTGCAGAGACGTTAACACTTTTAATTTGACAGAGTTGAAATGGCAATTGTGAATTTTGATAGTATCGATTTTTAGAAGTTTTGGCAACCACTTTTTTCAACTAATATCTGACTAAATATGGAAGTGAAAATTGCTCACTATGAATCATTAAAACCAAAAGAATGCAGACTAATAAATATAATGCATATCAAGCCGTCCCTGCAGGCTAATTAGGCAAATTAAGTACTGTAAATTTGTTATTAAAATAGTGCGCTAATGTAGGTCGAATTTTTTTATTGTGAGACAGAAACATCCATTAAAGGTTATGTATTGGTATTGTTATTATAAATAAATTGTTATAAAGTGCAAAGTTTGCATTATCACTAAGGTTACGCGTGATTTAAATAATAAAAACTTCCAATAAAAAACAAACTAATACAGAAAAGTATTTATTTAAAATTAAACATTCATACATGTATGATGTTATAGTACCTTATAAGGACAACATTCAACATTTCATTACCTTCCTCGCAGGCTTTCGTTGTACTTTCCTTATATAGTGCACTTGATCTCCATGTTACATAAAGAGAATGACCCCATTAGGTTTAGAATTAAGCTCATTTGGAGAAATGAACATAAATATTTAAATTATTTTTCACATTATGTGAATTTCTCATTGTAGCGATAAATATAGAAGTAGTATAAATTCTGAAAAATATATAGTTAAAGGATGATAGATTTACGTTTGCAATGACTATTTATGTAGAATCGGGTCAATGAGATACCAACAAAACTTCAATGAATAGTCCGAATTTGGCACAAATTGACCTTATTGTTGTTGGGTGTTAAGATTTTGTACTTAATACGGTACTGTACTGATAGTTAAAATTATTGCCGATAAAAGATTCATTTAATAAACATATGGTAAAGAAAATTATTTTTTTTAACTTTATTAAGTACATATAAAGTATGTGTAATAAATACATACCTTGAATTTTTTACTTTTTCCGGTATATTTACTAGTGGTTATGAATATACAGTTGTATCGGCTAAGAATTTCTACATCACCACGAAAATTTACCCTAAAAGTAAAATATAGACTCACAAGGTTGTTTTTTTAATAGAAAGTACAAATTTTGTAAAAAAAAATCTGTTCTGATGAAATACTCTCAAAATTTAAACAGTTTGTCATATTTCTTAGTACTCCTATAAGCTAGAAATGTTTGAATTTGGTCTTGGTGGAGCTCGGACGACTGTTGAAGAAAACTGTTGTATTGTTGTCTTCTTAAAAAATGTCTGTGTTTTGTACTCAAAGTTACAAAAGATATCTGTTCAACTTTATTTCCTTGTATGTTTTATCTTTATCATCGTTTTAATAGTGAACAACAAATTTTCCTAAAACTATGAGTACAGTTGGAGACAAAATACTTTGGTCGTCAATGTCACTTGAGTGACATTAAATTGTAAAGCATGCTTTAGGACTGTTAACCTTATTTTTAGCTACTGTCAATCATAATTGACAAGTTGTATGTACATATTTTTGATAGGAAAATATAATAGCTGTCATTAATTTGAAATTTTCATTGATTTTAACGTTAAAGCTTGAATTACATTAAAGTGTCCGAAAAATGACGACCAAAGTATTTTCTCTCCAACTTTAACTGTACTTACGACACACCTACCTTTACGAATGTACGCGTATGCTTTTTATAGATACTTAATAATGCTTTAAAAAATAATTATCATTGTTCAAAATATACCTATGTTTTTGTGAGTTTTCCCTTTTGATTTAAAAAAAAATTAATGGGTATATACAGAGTGTTCAAAAAATCGCGCACTTCCGTGACACTGTGTCATCGGGCGGTGCCCTAGACAACAAGAAAATTGTTACAAAAAATTCATCTCTAAAAATTCCCAAGTTTAAATTTTGCACTATGACTATTTATTTCTGTTGGAAAAATAATTTTCCAAGTTTTTTTGATACAGGCTATTAGAAGAGGAAACAAAGAAGTTGTATCCAAAATTGTAATTCTGTTTAGTGTTATTTGTGGCTTTTATTGACAAAATTTTTGTACCTTTAGTAAATAGTTATAAAAAAACATATACAAGATCATCAGTAGTATCCTTAAATAGATATAAAAAATGTCAAATGTCAAAAATTAATGTCACAATTTTTTGTCAGATAGAATTTTTTAAACATTTTTTCAGTACTCTGGGGGACTACCCAATTACTCCCTTTTAAAGAAGTGCGCGATTTTTTGAACAGCCTGTATATACCTCTGTCATTTTTTAGAGATTTATTCTTATTTTTAATGAAAACAAAATTTCGCAATTTCTTGATTTTAATATTTATTGATCTAATTTATATATTTTTAATAATTTTTTCATAAGTTTACAAAATTTGGTGCTATACAAGTATTCTTAATTTGGCATACTCGTATTTTAACAATGTAATGTTTTTATTAATTTAGGATAACAATAAGCAGTCCATTCCTGTTCAACTCCTGATGCTAGCAGTGCTATCGGTTTCGTTAAGTTTATGGTGATTCAATCTCTGAAAATAAAATATGTATAGAGACGAAACTAAGATGTTGAAAAACGATTTACTTTAAAATATTTGACGGTTTTCACTCTGAGTTCCAGTGTGGCATCTTCATCGCAAACCATTAGCGTGTTTGGATGAAGTTGAAATGCGGATACAGTCCACATGTGATTGACCCCATCTTCGATGGCCTTGTACAAAGCAAACGCTTTATGTGATCCAGTTATCAAAATCATCACCTGGAAAGAAATTAACTGATTATTGCTTTAACATGTAAAAGATGTACTCGAGTAATTATTAAATTGGTCTAACAACGAGGTCTATCAGATAAGTGCGTGAGAACTTCCCTTAGATCCTTTCTTTCCCTTAATTCATTCATTTCATTACGAGTAGTGGAAATAAAGCCTCATTCACGGTTAGATGAAGATGCAATTCTTTTAATTTCTTTCTTGACACTCTGTATGTTATCAATATATGGTAGAATAATTGTGCTACAAGTATTTAGGGATCTGATCTCAAAATGCATATGAGTATATATTTATTTTCAACAGCTTTTAAGATTAGTTGGACCAAACATATGCAGACAGATTGAGTATGACTATGATTGATTATTTTTTAATATCATAATTTTAATGAAATTGTTAATAGCACGGCAAAAATGCTATAAATAATCAGCCGTGCAGCTGTCATACACTTTTATATAAAAAAAGCAAAAAGGAGATAAATGCACAATTTTTTTCAAACAATTAAAAAAATTGAAAAATTAGCTGTCTTTTTAATTATATAATTTCGTTTTATTTCGTTTGTATTTTATAAAAAAGTGCATGGATAGATTTCTATTTTGGAGACACCACAAATATTAATGATTTTTTTACGAGTCGTCTGCGTAATCCAACAGATGCATTCCTGAGTGTTCGCGTCTTAATTCAATCATCATCAACACAATTTTTTTAAAGCGTGTGTTATTTATAAGTTATGACTATAAAAAATTTCCAAAAATTGCAATCTTCGTATCCGAATCAGTCAACTGATTTCGGAAATTGAGTTATTTATGAGTTTTGACTACAAAAAATCCGAAAAATTGCAATCTCCGTATCTGTCAACTGATTTCGGAAAATTGCGATTACTACAGAACTGTGTGCGTGTTTAAACAGCTATCATTGATCGGTGAATTTGTTTCATTATAATGTAATAAAAATCCAAATCACGTGAATAATAATGCAAGATGACGTCAAATGGTATTGACACACTAACCAAGAGCAAATAATATTTTTAAACAAACCTCTCTTGCGTCCATGACTGTGCCAACTCCAACAGTAAGAGCTTCTCTTGGGACATTGGAAATGTCGTTATCAAAAAACCGAGCATTGGCCTCTAGAGTGTCATGTGTGAGAGTCTTCACTCTAGTACGGGAAACCAAGGATGATCCAGGCTCATTGAAGGCGATATGACCATCTGTTCCAATCCCTGTGTTTGGACAATATTAAACAAACATATTATTCAAATAGAGAGTAATTATTCGGATCCATTGTGACAATTTATACAACGACCACTGTCACTGTGATAATTCCAATGTGGAGTTCCATTCCTTTTAAGTGAGTTAATAAAAGCAGATTACAACGAATTCTGATGTATTCCGTGAAAATAAGACGGTTGCCAGCCACCCGTATTTTAATCAATCTCTGTCTCTTAGCTTAATTGGATATATTCAAGTCTTATCCAATTCATATCATTTGCGAAGTTTATATAATTGAAAAGTTACGATCTGATATCTATTTCATTTTGTCTTTGGGTAGAGTTTACTTTTCTTCAAAACTTTACAACGTTGATAATATACGACCCTTGTTTTTTTCAATTTATTTGGAATTTCACCGGAAGTGACATTAAAGTTTTATTATCTTCTTTACAACAGTGCTTTTTTCTTTTTATGGGCTGACAATGTGTGGACAAACCATTGTTTTTTGAAAATGGAAAGTTAATGTTACTTCCATTAACGGATTTCCGAAACGCAAACAAACAAAACTGATCGTGGATTAAGAGCTTTCAAATGAAACTAAATGTACAGTTTGCTTTTATACTGGAGAAATATGTAGAGGGCATGAAGTTTTGGTTGCTTTTTAAATTGTAAAAGGAGATGTTTTCATATGTAATTTGTAAAAAAAATTAGCACGAGTTTGTTAATAAAAGAAAATTAAATTACGATTTTTAACCACCACATAATATGATCTAATATATTTTTTAAAATCTGTTCGGAAAATCGTAACACCGTAAGTACATATTGTGAACTCAAATGACTGACACATTTGGGTATCAAGGGAATCCACTATAAAGATAATATCTTAATTAAATTATATTTTAATTAAAAAAGATTGCATGCAGTGACAATG